TGAAGTTTGCAAATGAACATCTGATTGATTCAGAGGACAACTGGGTGAAAGTGTTGTGGTCAGATGAGACCAAAATGGAGCACTTTGGCATCAACTCAACTCACCGTGTTTGGAGGAGAAGGAATGCTGCCTATGACCCCAAGAACACCATCCCCACCGTCAAACATGGAGGTTGGAAACATTATGCTTTGGGGGTGTTTTTCTGCTAAGGGGACAGGACAACTTCACCGCATCAAAGGGACGATGGACGGGGCCATGTACCCTCAAATCTTGGGTGAGAACCTCCTTCCCTCAGCCAGGGCATTGAAAATGGGTCGTGGATGGGTATTCCAGCATGACAATGACCCAAAACACACGGCCAAGACAACAAAGGAGTGGCTCAAGAAGCACATTAAGGTCCTGGAGTGGCCTAGCCAGTCTCCAGACCTTAATCCCATAGAAAATCTGTGGAGGGAGCTGACGGTTCGAGTTGCCAAACGTCGGCCTCGAAACCTTAATAACTTGGAGAATATCTGCAAAGAGGAGTGGGACAAAATCCCTCCTGAGATGTGCGCAAACCTGGTGGCCAACTACAAGAAACGTCTGACCTCTGTGATTGCCAACAAGGGTTTTGCCACCAAGTACTAAGTCATGTTTTGCAGAGGGGTCAAATACTTATTTCCCTCATTAAAATGCAAATCAATTTATAACATTTTTGACATGCGTTTTTCTGGATTTTGTTGTTATTCTGTCTCTCACTGTCCAAATAAACCTACCATTAAAATTATAGACCGATCATTTCTTTGTCAGTGGGCAAACGTACAAAATCAGCAGGGGATCAAATACTTTTTTCCCTCACTGTGCATGCAATGGACGATTGATGTCCTTGTTTCTAACACAACCAAACAGCAGCAGAAACAACAAGGGAGAGCCAGCGCTCGCCCGTTCCGTACGTTCTGCTTGTAAGGAACGGGGGGGGGGGGGGGTGGCAGAGGCCTCACCTTTGCTCAAAGGGGTTTGTGGCTATGGTCGAGCGGTGCTGACACCCGACTACGTAGCCGCAATTCGAGACTCCCACGGCCTCATGCATTGCAGCATTTGTAGTCTGGGATTTGTTGTTGTTGTTGCACAAATGCTTCAAAGCGATATTTTTTTTTAAATAGCTTTCCTAGGGAGAGACTGGTCCCTGCCACTGACTCAGGGCCACAAATGGATGGAGCCTCAGCCCACTGCTTCGTTTGAACATTGAGCCATTTTTGAATGTTGTGTTTTTTGTTGTTGCACAAATGCTACCACGATGCGAACTCAAGATTATTTCCCAGCTGCCCTTTTTAAGGGATGCACGTTTCTTTATATGGCTCCTGCTTGGTTAAAAATACATTCCCGAGTTGAAATATGCACCGCCAAAAGTGAACGTGCTGGGATATCGTGTACCTAACATACTGCCGACTTCTTACCCATCCCTACTGGACATCTGTGAAAAAGAGCACATTAGCTCATCGGATTCCTCCAATATAAATAAATATTCGGATTCTGCAATGTGATTTTTCGCTTTTGCAGCAATTTCAGCGATAGGTGGACATTCATAGCAACAACGACCATGCCAGATCCGTGCACAGAATTTGGGTCCTATTCCCATTTAGCACAAAACCCCCGCAGCCAATCAACAGCTGGCGGTAGCGTGCTCGCTCCGCTGGGCGGTGGTCCGAGCCAACCAATCAGGCTCCATATGTGTGAGAAACAAAAATCCCCTATATAGCCTTAACAGACTGTTGGGACAAGTGCTGTTAGCGAGCACCTATGAAGCCCGGCATGGTACGAGGGGGTGGGTTGCCAGCACCACGCCAGACCGCTTTCGTCTCCCCAGTGGTGATGTTTACACACCACTCCCCTAAGTCGACTCATTTTAGGCTGAGTCGACTTAGGAGAGGCCCAGAACTGGTTCGAATAATCGTCACCGGTGCTGGCCCTGAGCGGGAATCGAACTCGGGTCTCCGGGTTCATAGAGCGGCACGCTAATCGCTACACTAACTACCGCTCCCCACCCATCTGTGCCACACACACACACACATAGGCGAATGTGTGTGTATGCTGCTCTGCCCTCCACTGAATTGTGTATTTGTAGTGGTTGGTAAAAAGAATACTGTGCTACTTAAACTCAGTGATGATGATGAGGAAGGTGACGATGCTGAAGTGCTCCCCGCACAAGCCACGTCCTCAAAGTGTCCTTGATGCGATTCTGCACGGTGGAGGAAAGTTTCCGCCAGAAACTTTCCACTATCTCTAGGCAAATCCTGAACCTGCAACTAAGCCTACCCTAAACTGCTGACCCCCCTCTAACTCTGCCCCTAACCCTGCTCACTTTGGGCAATTCCCGGGCTGCAGCGGAATGGGCTCGTTTGGACGTGGCGCACGCCTGCAACCCGACACTGTATCAAGGCAATGGTTGGTGGGTCACACAAATGTCGTGATACTCCCTTCGTGCAGGTGTCGAGGAGGAGTCCGTACATGGCGATACTGTGGACTCCACCTGTTCCGTCTTTATGGAATAGATTTACCCCGTCCCACGTGTGGGTTTTCTCCGGGTGCTCTGCTTTCCTCTTACATGTAAGCGCTCGTTAATTGGCTGAAAACATCGACATATATAGTGGGTACAAAAGGGCTTGGGCAATTGTTGGCGCTGGCCCAAAGCCTGGTTCCTCGCGCGTCGTTCTCTCTTCAAGAGCGGCTTCCTCGTGACTTGCGAATGGTGGAATTGAGACGATGGTGTAAAACAAAAAATCGCCGAATTCCACCAGAGAGTGACCAAATGACGAACAACGTTGCAACGGAAATGTGTGACGTTAAAATATGCTCTGTGCAATGTGTAAATCTCAACGTCCTGTTTTCAATTACAGCAAAAGTCACTGGAATTTCTACATTTTCTTCTCAAAGTAACAATCACTGCCAAACTATCAGCTGTTTTGTACTCATTGCAGTTAATGTTTAAAATGCGAGTGAGAATGAGGCACACGGCAAAGTCTGCTCCTGTGATTGCTTCCCACAAATGCGAGTATCCTGCTCTGGTTTATTGCTCTTGTGCACTCGGACCATTAGGGACATGACCATAGCCTGGGGCAACCCGCATGGTTAAGCTAGATATTTCATTCCTAAAAGCCACATTTGGGAACCAAATAGTCTGCACTTAGCAGTATGTTAGGAGCGATATCCTCAGCACGTTTACTTTTGGCAGTGCTTATTTCAACTAAGTAAATGTTTTTTTAACCAAGCAGGAGCCAAATATAGAAAACGTGCAACTCTTACAAAGAGGCAGCTGGGAAATAATTTGGAGCTCTAAATAGTGCAAGCATTTGTGCAAGAAAAAACACAACATTCGAAAGTGTCTCAACCTTCAAACGAGCAGTGGGCTGAGGCCACATCCATTGGTGGCCCTGAGCCAGTGGGAGGAAATTCGACATTCACATGACAGGGCCCAGTCTATCCACATGGGGAAGGCACATTTTTTACTGGTACCAATTTTACCAACCACAGATGGATGATGGATTTTGTTGTTGTTGCAGCCAGTGATTGAGTCACCGTGTGCCTGACCAGTAGTGGAAGAATGTGGCTTCGCAACACCACCGCAACCCCCAACCAGTTCACTCACACACACACATATATTACATTATATAAAAAAATGAAGAATAATTATGTAATTATTATTATGAAATACACATCGGCAATGTAAGGTGTAATAATTGACTGTTCTTCTGTCAATCGACCGCTGAGAGAGAGCCTTCCCATTGTGTGTCGGTCATGGAGGTTTTTAGACCAAACGTCACCACACTGGTTAAGTGCGGGTTGGTGAAGGGAGGCCGGCTAAGACCGGACCAGATACCACTCGCCACTGATGATAGCCGTGCTCGTTACAGCCCGGTGTACGAATCCACTACGCCACCGCTCTCCTGCACTGATTTAGAACACTGCATTCATCAACCCCTGCTGAATAATTCACGGGTATAAAAACACATTAAGAACATCAGTGGGTACCTGGATGTTTGCCGATAAATTACCAATATTCGAACAAAATGCTAAAATAAGTTTAATGCACGGTACTCGTAGGAAGAGCGGGCTGTCATGTAGAACAGATTATTCAAGCATTACGGTATGAGCTCTATGGCCGTGATAGTGCAGAGTTATCTCCGGTTGCGTGGACTAGTCTAGGGAATGAGTCAATTTACTTCCCAGGCAACAGTCAAACCTGTAACCTTTGCGTTTAAAACGAGATTTACTTAGCACTCCACTCACTCCGCTACAGAATTACAGCTACTCAAGGGTTCACTCAAAATAGTTTACTTTGCAGAAAAATCTACATTGTGTGGATTAATTTCCAGTGGGAAAGCACTTAAAGCATATTACCACCCCTCTAACCTCCCTCCCTGCTCTGAAGAAAAGCCAAAGCCTGAAGCACTGGATTACAACAGAATTTGAAATTAGCTGGAGAGTGGTTGTTAACAACAATGAAGGGCACGTTTTATTCCTGTTCTGTAAGTGGAAAGGATGCTATGCATGCTGGGTTAATTCCACTTGGAGACCTTAAAACTTCATTATTTGTTATTTTACCAGCTAAGGCCCACTGAGCTATAAAACTCTTTTTTAGAAGCGACCTAGCCAAAAATGATAGTTCAACGAAGTGGCTTTATCATGTGGAAATGTACAGCATCCAAATTCTCCTAACGCATGTCGATTCTAAATGTGGAGGGAAAAACAAGAGGACCCGGAGAAAAATCCAGGCGACCACAGGGAGAGAGACACGCAAACTCAAAATACACATCAGTCAGGGTCTGGATCGAACCCACGACCTCATGCATACCAGACAAGATAGTTAACATCTCACCACCGTGGCACTCATGAAGATAACCACACAAGTGGAGAGAATCCACGGGGCACCTTTTGAAAACACTCGCTCCGCCCTCGCAGCTACCGCGCCAGGCTGGAGGTCGCCAGGTAACCCCTCCCCCCACCCCGCTCCACCCCCTTACCTTGACCCTGCCAGTGGTGTGCAGGAAGCGCACGAGCGCCCGCGCCAGCTCCTCCTTGCTCTTGACGCCGAGCACCGGCTCGAGCAGCAGGCAGAGCGGCAGGCAGCTCGCGCTCAGGAACTCGGCAAACTCCTTGTAGCGCTCCATGGGCAGGATGCTGAGCTGCTGGTGCCGCCACTTGATGCGCACCGTGGGCACCGCGCCCTTGCCCTTGCCCGGGTTGGGCGTGCTCAGGGGGTACCACTTCTCCACGAACTGCCGCCCGCTCGTGCCGCCCTCCACCGAGATGTTGACGAGCCCCACGTAGCTGCTCTTCTCTTTCTTCTTCTTTTTGTCCGTGTCCTTGTACAGGTGTACCATGATGTGCTTGACCGCCGGCAGGTTACTGAACTCGAAATGTTCTCCCCAGAAGAGGTTGTCCACCTTGGCCTTGCTGGCGGTTCGAGCGTAGAGCGTGTCGTCCAGGCAGATCTCGCAGAAGTACTTCTTCTTGGCCGGGAGCTCCTTAGCCTCAATGATCCACACCTTCAGGTCATTCTCCACTCTCTGGATGTTGTCCTTGGGGGAACGAAAATCCACGCAAATGTAAATGAGCGTGGAAATGTCTGAGTTCCCTTGACAGGTGATGAACCGGCAACGAAAGCCATTCACGAACGCGAGTTTTTTCTCCGTGTGCACACCGACACATTCCGTATTACAATTCAAGGAAGCACAAGCACTGTGCCAATTGTCATTAAAATACAATTACTCTGCGCATGCACAAGCACTGACGTGGTATTTAAATACCATCACTGTTTATCGCGCTGAAAATATTTAATCGGGGCAAATGATGAAATCCAATCATGTTGAGTCAACCCCCCCCAACACCAAAAAGCACAAATGTAAAAAAAGAAATACCCAAAACTGAATGAACAGCGAACTTACCATCCAGTCAATAATAATTCCACACTTAATCTCTCGAACAAAAATGCCATTCTCGGCTGTATTCCAACTTCTTCCAAGAGAGACGTCAAGACATCTTGACCTCAGCCACAATGGTCCCCACTTCCCCCCCACCGCGACCCCCCTCCCTCCTGCGAGTCTCAATAGAGCCACTCTCTCTACACGCTAGAGCCAATCCAGCAGAGTCGAGATTGTTGCACCCCTCACAGATTACAATGATTCATCTGGATTGGAGCAGCACGGCCAAATTGCGCTCTCAATCACATCACCTGACAACGTCAGGTGATGTGATTGCCGTTATACGGTTGGTGGCAGCATCCGTTCTCAAAACCACAGCCTGCTTCAACGCACGCGCACGGTGAATCACACAGTGACCGCTAAGATGAGATTTAGAGTTTACTCGTTAGGGTTGCAACCTGCAGCACTGATTACCTCTGCATAATTTATGCGGTTAATTTTCTTTCTCTTAAGGGGGGCTACGGGCACATGCATCATTTCCCATTCTGTGCGATCCTATTTTAACAGAGGCCGAATCTCACTCCACGACACCGTTGGCAAAATAGCAAAGGTTCCGTGGTGTGAGAATTAATGAATTGGGGTCATTGGTCATTTGCCATAGATATATACTGCAGCACAGATGTGTGCTGTGGCTGTGAGTTCAGTATTTGCCACCTCATGTGTTTTTGCAGGTATTTACACCGAAAGAGATGCTCATGAATTGAGAAACTAGGACAATGTCTGCGGACTTTGAAGAGAATGAGAAAGGTCATGGGGGGGGGGAGAGGCTGTGAGAGGGGAGGTGGAGTGAAGAGGTAACGGGAGGATAATGAGGAGAGGGGTGGTGGGAATTGAGAGGCTATGGGGGCAGAATGGGAACAGGCATTGGCTTGAGGTGAGCTACTCCCACAGAAGGACGACATTCAGAAAAGGCACATTGAATATTTTTTCAGCTACGTGCCAATTTCTGTTCTAAAATTACGTAGGCAGGCGCAAGCTTTTGTAGCGGAGGGGAGGAGGAGCAGTGACGTGGTAGTCAGGACACTGCGCTGTGATCCTGACGGCCTGGGTTCAACTTCTGCTCACTGTATACTTGGCTCAGTTGTCCTTTTGCGTGGCCTACGTGGTGTGGAGACTAGAACAAGGTTTTCCAAAGTGCGCGTGATGAAGCCAAGAGAGATCACAAAGCCTCGCCGGGTCTCAAGACTCTTTTGCGGGAGGGTCCTGCCAAGTTATTGCAGTGGGGAATGAGTGATTTGCAGGTGAATTTTTTTTTAGCAATACCAGTTACATTGTGCGCGTGTATTTTTAGCTCTGGGAAGAAAGCGGACAGCCCAGAGGAAACCCGCACAGAACAGGGGGGAGAACATACAAACTCCACACAGAGAGGCGCCCGAGTCGAGAATCGATGAGAAGCCCTTCTTGCTGCGAGCCGCGAGTGTTACCGCTGCACTGCGCCACTCTGCCGCCAAAGCAATTCGTGGACAATAATCACAAGTAATTCGTGGATTTCTCATACAATTGCTAATCCTCTTATAATGCTCAAATCCACAAGGGGTCAAGTCCCAATTAATTTGGATTTGCAGGAGTCTTTAGTGTAACTATTTTTTGCCGAAAAAATATAATGTATTTCTTTATATTTTTTGCCAATTTCAATATTTACAAATTAAAAAAAAAACCCATCAAATAAAAATTGCAAACCCACACTGTGTTTCACATATCATTATTATCCTACATGCCGCCGTACACTTCAGTTCACGCTTAAACGACAGGACTATTCTCTTTTGATATGGAACACTTGAGCTGCAGAGGTCCCACCAGACAGTAACATAAATCTTTCTGACAGAGCTTTGCGACCTTCCAGACCTCCTCTCCTCTGCAGCGATTCAGGTTTCATCATCGCCGGTGATTTTCACTGCCCTGGCTCCTCGGAAGGTGAGTTTGACCATCGCCTTCGTGACATCCTTTCCTTCACGACAGCATGGCTGTTGGTATCAACATTTCACCTCATCGTTGAGCCCAATATTAAATATCAACCCAAATCACTCAGAACATTCACAGTCTTTTCATGAAGATGATCACCCCCCAAGGTTGTCCAGGCATCATCTATCAACCAACCACCCTAGAAAATCACCCATCACTCTCGGGCCTTTGTCCACTTCAACTACAGCACATTTAAGAAGCCGCTAACCTCCACCTCCTCCTTTGCCTCATCATCATCCAATGCCACAATCTGCACCAATCAACTTGACCTCGACCTCAGACATGTCATCGACGTGTCAGCAACCCGTTAAACGTGCAACCAGCCGGTTTCCCTCTTGTGACAACCGGCGGCTCTCAGGATCGGCTGTTGCATCAAAGTGCAGAAGAACCATGTGCTTGTGATCCAGACTTGAAACTGACGGCATCACTTATCGTTTTGCTGCAAAGCCACCAACAAGCTCATCATGGCCTCAAGAGCCTAATACATAAACCAACAGATCATCTCCGCAGTTAGCCACCCGCATCAACCTCCGGTCCACACTTAATGGCATTCCTCTCCTTCTTTCGTGTGGATTAATAACAGCAGATTAAAGATGTATTTTTAGATGTATCATCCACTCAAATGTTCGTCCATTCCTCCTTTAAGGGAGAAAAGACAGCAGTCGGTGTTTACAATGTGATCGATGGTTTGGGATTCATGGCTGCACTGACCTTGCTCATCACAACCACGAGACAATTTGGCACGGTCACCAAGCCGACTCTTCACTTGCTCTTAAATTTCAAATTTTAAGAGCCAATTACCAGCATGGCCTCCAACATTATTAAACCTCTTTCGGCCGGTCATGATCAACCCCCAGCTATTCCTTCTTTCGCCCCCCCCTCCACTCTGGACTTTGCTTCCTCTCATCTGTCGCACGTCAAGAGGTTCTCATTCTAAAGTCCAAAACTGTATATTAAAAAAAAAACCTCTACCCTGGATCTCCTACCAGCCAGCGGCTTAAAGCATTGCACTGTTAAACTCTCAATGGTGATTTTCTCATTTTGCTAAAGCCTTTTTCCAATTAGGCTAAGTGACTCCTCTACTAAAGAAACATGGCTTCCACCCCGAGGACCCTGCCCTATGACCAACTAACTTATCAACGATCTCAAAACTCCAGGAGCGCCTCGCCCTTGTCAGAAGGGAAGATCGCATCACTTCATCCACCAATTTCTTCCCCCCTTCAGTCTACCCACCGCCCAGCTCACTCGACTGAGACTGCACTCGTCACGATCACCGACGACACCTTAGCCTCTCAGGACTTCGGCGCCACCGTCGCTCTAGTAGGCCTCAACGCATCTGCCACCTCCGATACTTTAAACAGTAGGACTGAACACATCCAGAATCTGATTTCACCATCAGCGGCACAGCTCTACAACGGCTCACATCTCATCTCACTGACAGGAGGTTCCATGTCAAGGTTGGCAGGTCCTCGACGCCACCGCAGGTGCCCCTCAGGGATTGGTCCTGGGTCCTTTACTGTTTTCCATCTACGTCTTCCCAATTGGTCAGGTCATCGATAGTCACGGAATTAACTATCGAACCTACACCAATGACACTCAATTACACCCCACTCTTAACCTCCGATCAGGGCCCACTCAATCTCGCAAATTGTACCTCAGCCTCACAGCACTGGCTTAGGCCAAATCACCTCCCATTAAACCCGGGACAAAACCATAGCCCTTTCCTCAGGCGACAGGCAGCGCCTCACTGCAGGCACCGCTCCTGAAAAAACCAGTCAACTCGTTTTACAATCCTCGGAGTCACCTTGGACTCGGTCTTCTCACTCAACAACCACGTCCTCGACAAAATAAAGCCACGTAATCGGACATCAGAAAAACACCTCAGCAAACTTACAGGCGCCTCCAAAACACAACCTAGATTGCGCTGCCCTAAGCATTGTGCGTAACCACGTGGCTGCCATAGCTTCACTAAACACTTTGAAGTGGCTACCTTGTCAACGCAAGGATGGAGTGCAACATCGCTATCCTGCGCCACTGGGCTCTCTTTCGAGGTCTCCCACCATACTTGACCCTCCCACCATTCTCGCTGGACTGACGGCAGCAAACAACCGCCGCATCCTCCCCAGCATGTCTGACAATTTTCACGTCGCAAACCCAGTAGCAGGACTGTCCTGGCTGAGCGGCATTTTCTCCGTAGCTGCACCACCAGCGGCTGCCTCGAACTCTGACCCACTGCAACACGTTGATGATTCTAAATGTATAGGGAAAATCCGGTGGACCCAGAGAAAAATCCAAACAATTATGTGGAGAACATGCAAACTCCAAATATACAGGTGTCAGGACTGAACCCATGACCTCCTGTACATCAGGCGAGGTAGTTAACATCTCGCCATGGTGGCGCCACGGTGGCCGCTTCAAAACTTGGAAATGGAAATAAATATGAATTAGCAAAGTGTGAACTTGATAAATTTGCAACAAATGGTAATCGAAATCAATGTCTCCAATGTCATGTTTAAATAGTGCACGGGATCGAAGGAAGGCAATTCAGTGCTCATACACGGCGAGTGGAATCTGCAAGCGGTCTTACCCCGTCACACCAGCCAAACTGTCCTGTGCAAAGTCACACGAGGAGGGCACTTCATGGAGAAATAAACAACAAAGTGCAGTAATACCTCGACAGACGAAGCGTTCCTGGAGCTTCGTTCGTATATCGAAACTTCGTGTATTGAATCACTTAGAACATCAGCACGATGAGGATTCATTCCCGGCTTTTGCAACTTACCATTTAATGCTATAAACATTTCATTGCTTACCAAAAATATTGTAAACAAAAACAATTATCTTTTATGCTGCACAGTATTAAAACCGAAAACTGACGAAAGTAAAAGAAACAGTGAATACAATTAATTCTTATGTATGCAGTACTGGAGATTGGCGCACGCATAATTTATTAATTTCAATGCATTTATTTACTATTTTACTGAAATTTTAGCTTTCGGTGCTTAATAAAGGTTATAACAATTCCCAACTTCGTGATACCCAAAAATTGTTGATAGAATATACGCATATCGAGGTATAACTGTACTCCAGTGCTGCCCACGCTGCACCACAAGGCATAACTACACCTGTGTGCAATGCGCACAAATATGACAAGAACATAAAACTATTTACACTGGCAGAGAATTATCTTGCAAATTTGAACAAAATCATCTGGCGATACCCCACGCAGACACAGACAACAAAGCAACTCAACGCGTTCGTAAACAAAACTGCCTGAAAACGACGACGACAACAACAAGACAACCTTTACAAAGCAAGACGTCTATGACGGACGCCTTCGTTCACGAACAAACAAGGTTACAGAAGCAGCGCGTGCGGCAGATGCGTAAATTCACATTTATAATGGGTTATCAACAACTACGCTGATAAAATCGCCTTCGGGCGGACGTGGCAGAGGGCGGTAACGGCAGCGACGAGAGCTCGCGCCGCGTGGCCGTGTGGCCATGGCGACGCCGCCACAGGACGGCGCTCCGAGCCCTGGGATGCGCGCGGGGGGTTACCTTGTTGGGCTGCACGATCCTCCGCAGGTTCTCCATCCATTTGTCTTGCTCGGCGGCCGAGCGACAAGAGAAGCACTTGCTGCCGCTCGACGTGATCACCTGCGCGCGGAAGTGGGGGGGGGGGGGTGGGACGAGACGCAGGAGCCTGGTGAGACGCTCGCCCGATGTGGATGGTTTTGCGTGCAGGCGTGCTTGTGTGTGTGTGCGTGCGCGTGAATCGTGTTGGTTTATGTGTGTGTTTATGCGTGAGTGGTGTGTGTGCGTGGGGGTCTGTGCGTCTGTGTGTGAGTAGGGGTCTGCATGTGCGTGTGTAGATGGGGGTTGCGAGTGTGTGCACACAGTCTGTGCGAGTGTGGGGAGCGGTAGGTAGTGTAGCGGTTAGCACGCTGCGCCACAAACCCGGCAACCAGAGTTCGATTCCCGATCACGGCCAACATCAGTGCTGATTATCTGAACCAGTCCTGGTCCTCCTCTAGGTTGCTCATCCTCAAATAAGTACCTGGAAGAGTGTGTTAAACATCGCCACTGGGAGACAAACCCGGCCGGGCATGGTGCCGGCCACCTCCCCCCGCCTTGTGTGTCGTGCCGGCCTTCATAGGTGCTCGCTATCAGCACTTGCTCCTATAGTCTGTAAAGGCTATACGGGAGATCTTTGTTTGGGGGCTGCATGTGTGCGTGTATGTACATGGGGTCTGTGTGGGGTCTGTGTGTGTGTGTGTGAGTGACTGGCTCCAGTTTAACAGCAGAGGTCTCACTCCGAATCAGTCGAGCGGCAATATCTTTTCATCGGTTGCGTAACGCTGTGTGGAAGCTACCTGGTCTGTCGCTCCGCACTAAGCTTCAGGTCTTCTCGGCCACGGTCATTCCCTCCCTTCTCTACGCTTGCGAAACGTGGACCCCTTAATGGAGCATCTTCGCCGGTTGGAAACATTTAGGCTGGCCTGCCTACGATCCATCCTGGGTTTAACCAGGCTGGATTGTGTGAGGAGCTCAAAAATCCTTGAAAGATCTGGGCAAGGTCCCATCAGTGAGCTCCTCCGGCAGGCAAGGCTGCGTTGGCTGGGTCATGTAACCCGCATGCCCAGCCACCGCATGCCGAAACAGCTTTTGTTCGGCCGGATCGAGGGGGCTAAACGGGCGCGGCACGGGCTAGAGAAGAGATGGAGTGATGTGGTACAGGAGGACGTGGAGCTGAGTGGACTTGCCGATGACTGGTACCAGCGGTGTCAAGATCGGCCTCTGTGGAGGAGGCTCGTGAAGGACGCTATTGAGCAGTTGGAGGCAGTCGCCCTCCAACAACAACGGAGGGCGGAGGAGCGACGCTCACAACAACGAGCGGAGCGCCGGGTGGCTAAAGCACAGCAGGTTGGCACAGTAGGGGGCACAGGTGGTGCACCAGCCAATTATCTCAGTCAGTCGACCCGTGGCACCTGGGTCTGCCCCGTGACCTCCTGCCCACGGGCGTTCGACACTTCACGTGGCCTCAAGGTGCACATGGCCTGGCACAAACGTCGTGGTGATGTCACTGCCACTTAGTGGCGAATGGCGGTTGTTGTTGTGTGTGAGTGGGTCTGTGTGTGTGCGTGCGTGTGCGAGCACCAGTGGCTGAAGCCTCATGGGAGGCCCACTTGGGGTTGTGCGCACAGGCACATTGGCGTGGGCGTCTGCTCGCGTGTGTGTACGCATGTATGAACCTTCACTACAAATTAACATCAAAGTTGTCAAAGCTCGCCAAAATGTCCATTATCTATCTAATCCACCCCATAATAACGGCATTAAATACAGACACCCCTGTGCTTTTGAAGATTTGCAAGTAAACACATTTTCCATTTACAAAAATTAGTTCTGAGTAAACTCAGCAGGATCATTGTGTGCCTGAGTGAAGGCAGAGTATGGGGTAGTATGCATTCATAATCTTTAAGATTAAAGGTGAGCCACTTATAATGCGTGCATATTTAGCATTTTTGGAAGGTGTCACTGGGCTGCCTTGCCTCAGTTCCGCGTCTCTTGAGTTCAGTGGCTTGGCGTGGTATGCCACAACGTGCGTACACTGCAAAGTCTCTTTTCACTCAGGATCATTAACCATGAGTTTGGCTTGCTGAATATTGCATATGCTGCCTTTTCCTCATTTATCACATGGGAACTACTCCATGCAAATATGCTGTACCGAATTGGCCTGTTGGCTCAGAGATAATAATAATACAAATAATTTCAACTTGTAACGCGCTGCATAGTATTTGCTTGCTCTCGTAGACAGAGAACGATGCAGAGGCACGAGGCAGAACCACAGACAAGCATGGAGGCAGCCACGTGATTAGTTGGTGCCAAAGATTGCCCAAGCCCTGCGGTCCTCCATATATTAAATAAGTGTTCTTGGCAAATTAATATTTACATGTGGAAGGAAACTGCAACTTCCCAGAGAAAAACCATGCATGCAAGGGGGCAACGCTCTATCCCATACAGACAGCAGGTGGAGTCCGCATTTCTTCTGTACTGCCGTCTCCTGGCAAGCCGGGTACGGTTCCTCCTCGACGCCCACGGTAAGAGAGTTTTGCAAAATAGGTGCGATTCTGCGACCGTCTTGTGCTTCTGCGGCTGTTTGGAACGCTCTTTCTTCTGATATTAGGAAGTCCTTGGGGCTATGCACTTCTAAATCTAAATTGAAAACTCATTTCTTTAGAACTGCTGTCTGTGTTTTGTTTGTTGTCCTTTGCCCGCACCTCCAATTAGCACGGTTGGCTACATACAGTGCGAAAGACGTTCAACATACCACCAACCCTCGCATCCACAGTGCTGGATTACAGTCCATGTACAGCATAAGCCACCACCGCCCGGCTTAGATCAGACCAATGAGTTGGCACCGTTGAGATCCTGGGTTCGAATCTGGGCAGTCCCGTGTGTTTTAATCCCAGTTCTCAAGTGTAGTGAATTTATTGTCTCAGCCCAATTTCTGCACGCAAAAAAACCCCTCACATAAAATTTGGTTTTCAACTTAATTTGGCAAAAATTACAATTGTGAAAATTAGGAAATATTGGCTTGACGGCTATGAGAAAAATCCCATAGAGTGCGTTGGAGAATGCGACCCCCCCACTGTGCAAAGGGTAAGTTCCGTGAAACATATTTTGCAAATACACAGGGTCAAACAGTTCTATCGGAATTCCAAATGGATTCTTAGTCTATAACATTAAGCTAATAGCGCAAACTTTATTTGGAAAAAAGACCAAAAAAGTTTAAATACACTATGCGAAAGTTCAATCTCCAGCAGAATATCATAAGTGAGATGTGAATTTGTAAGATCATCATCATCATCAAAAACACGGTCATGAATAGATCTCTGCCCAAACACATTCTTTGCTGGTACAGTTTCTGTGAAGCAGCAATATCACACGCGTAACCCAGTTGTACAGAATGGTCACACACAGAATGTGTAAGAGTAAACTCCTCGTGTGACAAAAAACACGATAAAGAAGCATGAACATGCATAACACTTTGAACACAAAGCGTTATCTGTGGTACTAAAAAGGAACACGTGCATCGCTGTTGCACACAGAAGTAAATTCCAGAGGGAAATGTCTGTATTCCATCGACGCTCACCGCCAAAGGTTATGATTTAGGCGGCATAAGAGGAGGCATGCTTTAGACACAGTAACACAGTGCTTACAACTGAAATATACATCATCATCACTATCCATGGGCAGATAGCCCCTAGGTGTAACCTGCACATTTGATCATTCGTCCCCACTTTCCTCCGTTTTGTGCCAATCTGCTCAAGTCGCGCCACATCTTTCTGGCACCAATCTCTTATGTCGACATCAAGCCATTCTCTGTTAGGTCTTCCTCTCTTTCCAGTTCCCTAACAACAACAACACACTTTTAATTGGACTAAGTAAACCACTACAATTTACTTCACTATAGCACATTTCAGGCACTTTAATTGTTATAAATAATTTGACACGAATGCTGAAATGCAATGTAACATAGCTCAAGATGGCAAAACCCATTCCATTTACTTTTGTAGGCTAATAATAATATGGTTGAGCAGTGCAAGCTTGCAAGTGTATATGTGTTCATATGCAAGTTTTTCAACATAATTTAATGTTAGCAGATAAACAGTAATACAATTGATCTGTTGTCAAATAAACCTTGCATAAATTTATTTAATTATTTACTCAATAAAATGTATAAACTCGAGAAAATATGCGTGAATTGTATCTGTAACACTGGCTATGGACCAAAAGAAAGCTTACAATGGTTTTCCCCGAGTAATCAAAGCCACCGTTAATTCTGCACTGTTGCGTAGTGTTCGAGGAAGCGGCCGGGCTGGAGTCCTTGGCGGGCCCCGTAGGCAGGGTGACGCACGTGCTTACATCACCGCGTGTAATCACGCGTGTGAGAGAGCGGGGCATTGTTCCCGGCTCCCTGGACTCATCGCAAAAGCACGCGGAGGTGGCCACCACCATGCCACCAGCCATCCTCCCCCCATTCCCGTTGTGAAAAAACCCTTCGCCAGTTCCAACCGCTCCAATGCTCTGAGCCAACGCACGAGTTACCTTTAAACGATATCTTCTCAATGCGCCCCCATTCATTGGGTGGTCTAATGATACAATCCATCACACATTTCATGCGGTGTACAAAAAACTTCCTCCGCAAATAACTTTCCATCGTGGAGGTGCTTGCTGATGGTGCAAATGCACTGCAGATAGTGTACTCTCTCGTCCAGAGTGAGCGGACACTGCACACGTTACAAGTTGACATTATTATTAGTACCGTTCACTGCATATACCCTTGAACTACAAGATACGTTTCCTGCTGTGAGAGAAACTAAGAGGGAACCACAGACACCACAGCCGTGACTGACGATTAAGACGTCAAAATGTTACTCATTAATCCTTGGAAATGTCATTCTGTCTTTGTAATATCCCGAGGGAGTTTCACTCCATTTTGCTTTGAAACACGCAAATGTACATGGACATATCAGATTAAACAGTGATCACGATGACGATGACAACGATGTAAATGGTGGTGCTGATGACGATCACCGAGAGGTTTCATCGAAAAAGCTCCAATTATGCCTTCTAATATTACACTTGCATCCGCT